TTCAGGAGCCGATATGTTAGTTTATGATATGAATAACCGTGTCATGGTGGAGACGGGTTCCGGTTATTGCTCCGGTATTTTATCACATAGGTATTGCCGCCGTTGCTCATTTCCTGCCCACCTATTAACACCGTCGTCCGTGTATTGTCACACCTGCTGGCGTGTTGCCCCCGCACACCGTCATCGTTGTTATTGTGTTACCACCTCTGCTAGACATGGAAGCCGGCAAACAATGTTTCCTTTCCGATGTTGCAATATTTTCTTTATCGGGAATTGTAAAGGGGCCCGATATGAATAGGGTGGAGGAGCCGCACACTTTTATTATTTCTGTGGCCTGTCGACAGTTGAGCACTTTTCTGTATTCTGTGACAGTTCTCCCGCTTCTTTGCTGACATTTGGGATGTGAGTCCGGAGTGTCAGCAAGGAAGCAGAGAGCTGTTACAGGATGACACGCGGCCGTCCCGCTTCTTTGCTGACATTTGGGGTGTGAGTCCGGAATGTCAGCAAGGAAGCAGAGAGCTGTTACAGGATGACACGCGGCCGTCCCGCTTCTTTGCTGACATTTGGGGTGTGAGTCCGGAATGTCAGCAAGGAAGCAGAGAGCTGTTACAGGATGACACGCGGCCGTCCCGCTTCTTTGCTGACATTTGGGGTGTGAGTCCGGAATGTCAGCAAGGAAGCAGAGAGCTGTTACAGGATGACACGCGGCCGTCCCGCTTCTTTGCTGACATTTGGGGTGTGAGTCCGGAATGTCAGCAAGGAAGCAGAGAGCTGTTACAGGATGACACGCGGCCGTCCCGCTTCTTTGCTGACATTTGGGGTGTGAGTCCGGAATGTCAGCAAGGAAGCAGAGAGCTGTTACAGGATGACACGCGGCCGTCCCGCTTCTTTGCTGACATTTGGGGTGTGAGTCCGGAATGTCAGCAAGGAAGCAGAGAGCTGTTACAGGATGACACGCGGCCGTCCCGCTTCTTTGCTGACATTTGGGGTGTGAGTCCGGAATGTCAGCAAGGAAGCAGAGAGCTGTTACAGGATGACACGCGGCCGTCCCGCTTCTTTGCTGACATTTGGGGTGTGAGTCCGGAATGTCAGCAAGGAAGCAGAGAGCTGTTACAGGATGACACGCGGCCGTCCCGCTTCTTTGCTGACATTTGGGGTGTGAGTCCGGAATGTCAGCAAGGAAGCAGAGAGCTGTTACAGGATGACACGCGGCCGTCCCGCTTCTTTGCTGACATTTGGGGTGTGAGTCCGGAATGTCAGCAAGGAAGCAGAGAGCTGTTACAGGATGACACGCGGCCGTCCCGCTTCTTTGCTGACATTTGGGGTGTGAGTCCGGAATGTCAGCAAGGAAGCAGAGAGCTGTTACAGGATGACACGCGGCCGTCCCGCTTCTTTGCTGACATTTGGGGTGTGAGTCCGGAATGTCAGCAAGGAAGCAGAGAGCTGTTACAGGATGACACGCGGCCGTCCCGCTTCTTTGCTGACATTTGGGGTGTGAGTCCGGAATGTCAGCAAGGAAGCAGAGAGCTGTTACAGGATGACACGCGGCCGTCCCGCTTCTTTGCTGACATTTGGGGTGTGAGTCCGGAATGTCAGCAAGGAAGCAGAGAGCTGTTACAGGATGACACGCGGCCGTCCCGCTTCTTTGCTGACATTTGGGGTGTGAGTCCGGAATGTCAGCAAGGAAGGAGAGAGATGTTACAGGATGACACGCGGCCGTCCCGCTTCTTTACTGACATTTGGGATGTGAGTCCGGAATGTCAGCAAGGAAGGAGAGAGATGTTACAGGATGACACGCGGCTGTCCCGCTTCTTTGCTGACATTTGGGGTGTGAGTCCGGAATGTCAGCAAGGAAGCAGAGAGATGTTACAGGATGACACGCGGCTGTCCCGCTTCTTTGCTGACATTTGGGATGTGAGTCCGGAATGTCAGCAAGGAAGCAGAGAGATGTTACAGGATGACACGCGGCTGTCCCGCTTCTATGCTGACATTTGGGATGAGTCCGGAATGTCAGGAAGGAAGCAGAGAGATGTTACAGGATGACACGCGGCTGTCCCGCTTCTATGCTGACATTTGGGATGAGTCCGGAATGTCAGGAAGGAAGCAGAGAGATGTTACAGGATGACACGCGGCTGTCCCGCTTCTATGCTGACATTTGGGATGAGTCCGGAATGTCAGGAAGGAAGCAGAGAGATGTTACAGGATGACACGCGGCTGTCCCGCTTCTATGCTGACATTTGGGATGAGTCCGGAATGTCAGGAAGGAAGCAGAGAGATGTTACAGGATGATACGCGGCTGTTTTTTATTACAGTGTGCAAAGTAAAATAAAAGAGAATGGGGATAACACAAAGAGTGGCTTAGGGTTTGGGTGGTGAAACTTTAACGGGCATGGCCTTCTATTGGAATCTCCAAGATATGACGAAGCCAACAGAAAACTCAGCATATCACATTGCATCTAGAAATTGAATATCAAAATATCACTTTTGCCGGGATGAACCCCCCTATAAATAAATTCTTTATCCTCCAGTTGTTCTTTGGACTGAACAGTTCCACTTGTTAAAAGCCATCGTACGTTTGTCACAAGAATCAGCGAGTCCGTTATTTCTGATGTCTAATTAAACTCCTTTTATCTGTAAATCATTTCCCGCACTCTGAACGCAGTGAGGACGCTCCGTGATGTCTTCTCTGATGCGTAGTAAGGTTTCCTTTCTGAGTGAAAGATTTCCCGCACTCTGAACATGAGAAAGGACGCTCACCCGTGTGAGTTCTGTGGTGCAGAAGAAGCTGTCCTTTTACACTAAAACCTTTCCCGCACTCAGTACATGAATAGGGACGCTCACCTGTATGAATTCTCTGGTGTCTAACAAAGTCTCCTTTTATAGCAAAAGATTTTCCGCACTCTGAACATGTAAAAGGATGCTCGAATGTGTGAATCCTGTGGTGTCTGACAAAGTCTCTTTTTTCGGTGAAAGTTTTCCCGCACTCTGAACATGAAAAAGGACAATCACGCATGTGAATTCTCTGGTGTCCAAGAAGTTGTCCTTTTTGTTTAAAAGATTTCCCGCACTCTGTACATGAGTAAGGCTGCTCACCCGTGTGACTTCTCTGGTGGATATGAAGGGTTCCCTTCTGAGTGAAAGATTTCCCGCACTCTAAACATGAATAGGGGCGAACACCCGTGTGAATTCTCTGGTGTTTAAGAAGTTTTCCTTTCTCAATGAAATTTTTCCCGCACTCTGAACATGAATATGCTCGTTCACCCGTGTGAATTACTTGGTGTTGAACAAGGATTCTTTTCTCAGTGAAACATTTTCCGCACTCTGGACATGAATAAGGGCGCTCGCCTGTGTGGCTTCTCTGGTGTCTGAGAAATATTCTTTTATCCCTGAAAGATTTCCCGCACTCTGCACAGGAATATGGACACTCACCCGTGTGAATTCTCTGGTGTATCAGAAGTGTTCTTTTCTCCCTGAAAGATTTCCAACACTCGGAACAGGAATAAGGACGCTCACTCGTGTGAGTACTCTGGTGTTTGTAAAGATTTCCTTTCAAGGTAAAACGTTTCCCGCACTCTGAACACGAATATGGCCGCTCTCCTGTGTGATTTCCTTCGTGGCTTACAGAAGGTTCCTCAGGATTAGGTGGACCTCTTGATCTCTCCGCACTGTGAGGACCTTGATGGACATCTGAGGTCATGTGACGCGATGGATCAGAAGGTTCCTCAGGATTAGGTGGACCTCTTGATCTCTCCGCACTGTGAGGACCTTGATGGACATCTGAGGTCATGTGACGCGATGGATCAGAAGGTTCCTCAGGATTAGGCGGATCTCTTGATCTCTCCGCACTGTGAGGACCTTGATGGACATCTGAGGTCATGTGACGCGATGGATCAGAAGGTTCCTCAGGATTAGACGGATCTCTTGTTCTCTCCGCACTGTGAGGACCTTGATGGACATCTGAGGTCATGTGACGTGATGGATCAGAAGGTTCCTCAGGATTAGACGGATCTCTTGTTCTCTCCGCACTGTGAGGACCTTGATGGACATCTGAGGTCATGTGACGTGATGGATCAGAAGGTTCCTCAGGATTGGACGGATCCGTCGATCTCTCTGAAGGGGAAGAAATGACTTCGGGAGAATGTTGCGCAATGTCGCCGTCTTCTGCTTCTCCGTCTGGAGATATAATAAGACGTCCCTCCGATGTCTTTATATTCCACTTCTGTACATCTGTGAGAGAGTAATGATTATACAGGATTTATATGGCGCCAACAGTGTGCGCAGCGCTGTACAATATAAGGAAGACATTACAATCACAATACAATTCAAGACAGGATGGTAAGGAGGGCCCCGCCCCCGAGGGCTTACCATCTAAAAGGGGAGGGGCCAGTGATACATGCGGAGGGAGTTGCGTGGGGATGAATGGTTGAGCGGTCAGGTTGAGGTGGGATCGGCTTCCCTGAAGAGATGAGCCTTAAGGGAACGCCTAAAGGCATCTGTGTGGGAGATAGACGGACAGGTTGGGGTAAAGAGTTCCAGAGGATGGGAGAGACTCTAGAGAAGTCCTGGAGGCGAGTATGGGAGGAGATGACAAGGGAGCTGGAAAGCAGGAGGTCTTGTGAAGAGCGGAGGGGACGGTTAGGGTGATACTTTGAGACAAGGTTGGAGATATATCCGGGGGCAGAGTTGTGGACGGCTTTGTACGCGGTTGTTAATATTTTGAATGT